AATGGTCTTGAACTTAGCTGTTTATGGCTTTCTTCTCACCAGGAGATATCTTGCACTTAAAAGGTTCTTTTGTTTTTGTTTTAATCAAAATTTCTTTTTCTTCTCTTTTTAAAACATCAAATTGGAGTAAACTCTAAGAGGGCTATTAATCAGAATTGCGCAAATGAAGATTATATTGCCTTTCCAGTTCGTGACCGTGGGATTTTTTTCTTAACAGTTCAGGCCTGTAATAGATCATCTTTTGATAACCAAGTACTACAGAAAAGGTTCTTTTGCCTGCTTTTTTTAATCCAGCTTTCTTTTCTTTCTTTTGATCGTGGGATTTTTTTCTTAACAGTTTAGGCCTGTAACAGATCATCTTTTGATAACCAAGTATAATTGGGACTTTACTGGCCCTTGGCCTTTTTTGTTTGTACTATCAATACCTCGGGCTGGTATTTTTCAAGTAAGGTCTTCGCGCTTGGTTTATATGTTATATCCATTGTCTAATTGTACCACAAAATTTTCAAAACTGACATTAAAGGGAAGGTATAGATGTTATAGTAAGGAGAATTGAGAAACGTATAGTAGATCGCCTTCTATCACGCCTTCTGTCTATTCTAGCCTTAGTGTAGTTTAAATCTGTCAGTGTTTCTTGAAAATATTTTAAACTCCTTGAAATAAACGTATTTCTTGTACTCTGCTGTGATGTTTGAGTATTACATACTCGTTATGCAACGTTTTCGAGTGGCATGCCAAGGAATATATCATGAGTTGTATTTTCTAGGTATGCACAGGAGACTTTAGGCGAGTGCGTATACCATGCCATAGAAAATACAGCGGCCAACCCAATCAGATATGAGATGATAGTTAGCCAACGAGGTGCGTAGCGCCGAGTTGGCTATAATTATCATCATCTCATATCCAACAAACGCGAGTGGACTAATTGTTTGAAAACTAAACTAAAATAAAAACGTCTCAAAAATTCACACGTCCGCTTACCGTATTTGTGGAGCATAGTATAATGGCT